TGGTTAAAGTCTAACAGTTACTCCATAAACAAATTGGGCAAATAAAACATACCTGCTGGATTGTAGCTGAAAGTCTGAGAAGTAATGGGTTTAAGGGCTGCAACTCAATGAACCCTTCTAGACAGCTCTACTGCTTCGTGGATATCACAGCTAACCCAGTAATTTGATTTATGTTTTGTTTGATTTTTAACATAGAAAAACCTGCAGTTTCTGTGCAATACTGTATATTTAAATCTTCTGGGTTGGAAATACAGAATGCGTGGTCCTTACTGAATGAACTGACATCTTGGGTTGGGTTTTTTTCAGGGACCCACATTTTTTAACATGGTGCAGATATACCTTATGATTATAGTGCTTCTTCACTTAAGGAACTAAAAATTATATGCATGGTTGTTGCCTATGTAACTTGTTTATCCTTGCACCAGTGCTATAAAATAGGTTAGGCTAAGAGAGAAACTAATTTAGTTTTGTCTTTTAGCGTGTTTTTATGAAATGAGCTTAGAAAGAACAATGTAAAATTTATTTGTGGTAGTATGTTTATGTATTTTATTGATTTTAAGTTCAGAAAATCATTTAATGGATAGAATTAGGTTTGCTTAAAATTAAGTATGCCTAGAAAGTATTGTTTTTCTCCCTCCCCCCCCCTTTTTTTTCCTAAGACTTTAAAAATATTTTAAGAGTTACAAGGAGCATTGGCCAAAACTGGAATTAAATGAATTCAAAAAGATCTTATTTTCAAGACTGATTTCTAACAATATGATAGATTGTAAAAGTAGATCAAAATAAAAAAGCACATCCCAGTTAAAATGTACTTCTAAGATCATAATGTGTAGGATTGAATTATTGTACATATTTTAAAGTTTAAAATTCATAATCACCAAACTGTACTAAAGAGATTCAGCAACTATGCATATGGTTTTCCTAAATTTTATAATGCCAGATAAAATCTTAAAAATTACATTATATTTTATGTTAAGGCCATACAATAATTTTCAGGTGTTCAGCATTTTCAAAATGTTTATATTTTGCTTACAGACATAAGACCTGCTGAATCAAATCATAAACCTATCTAATCTCACATTCTGCATCACTGTAGCCATCTGGATGTATTTGAGAAATTCCCAAGCCTGACCTAGCTCAATAGCCACATTCCACTGTTGCTTTCTAGCAATAGGCATGATAAATAAGTCCATGAACTTTCTAGCCTCCTTTTAAAACATCCAAATAGGCTACCTATTCTCACTATGGGCAGCAAATTCCAAAAGTATATTATGCTTTTAATAATAAAGTGTTATTTCTGTCAGTCTCTAGAATTTCACTATTTAGTTTCAATAGGTGACTTTGAATTTTAACATCGTGAGAAAATTTTCTGACTATTTTTTCAATGTGTTATTATACTGGTCTAGCATATGGCATTTTAAAGAAACCCCTTAGCTTATCTCCTTAAGCAGGTGTTGGCGGTAGAATGTATAGTAATTATGACTGAACTAATGTGGGTTTCTATAGGATGATGGTTCATTGTGATCTGCTTTAAAAATGGTTAAAGTCTAACAGTTACTCCATAAACAAATTGGGCAAATAAAATGTACCTGCTGGATTGTAGCTGAAAGTCATGTGAAACCTTGCCCTCAATTTTAAACTAAATTTCCATATGCTTCCTTGCCAGAAAGCTGCTGTTTATTTTAGTATTGTGTGTAGAGAGCAAGGGAAATATCTTGATGGAAATACACAAGAAATATTACTTAGGCAAAAGAGACTAAAACATATTTTAAGTCCAGAGAAACAAGGTAACATTGGAAAGTGGCTCAAGCAAATGCCCCTTTCTTTTATATGGAATATATAAAAAGAGGGAGTACAACACA